TGATGCCCCTATATTCTAGGTTACAAGTGTAATTAAAGCTGATGTCCCTATATTCTAGGTTACAAGTGTAATTAAATCTGATGTCCCTATATTCTAGGTTACAAGTGTAATTAAAGCTGATGTCCCTATATTCTAGGTTACAAGTGTAATTAAAGCTGATGTCCCTATATTCTATTACAAGTGTAATTAAAGCTGATGACCCTATATTCTAGGTTACAAGTGTAATTAAAGCTGATCCTATATTCTAGGTTAAAGTGTAATTAAGCTGATGCCCTAAATACTAGGTTACAAGTGTAATTAAAATGTCCCTATATTCTAGGGTAATTAAAGGTCCCTATATTCTAGGTTACAAGTGTAATTAAAGCTGATGCCCCTAAATACTAGGTTACAAGTGTAATTAAAGCTGATGTCCCTATATTCTAGGTTACAAGTGTAATTAAGCTAATGCCCCTATATTCTAGGTTACAAGTGTCATTAAAGCTTATGTCCCTATATTCTAGGTTACAAGTGTAATTAAAGCTAATGTCCCTATATTCTAGGTTACAAGTGTGATTAAGCTGATGTCCCTATATTCTAGGTTACAAGTGTAATTTAAAGCTGATGACCTATATTCTACAAGTGTAATTAAAGCTGATGTCCCTATATTCTAGGTTACAAGTGTAATTAAAGCTAATGTCCCTATATTCTAGGTTACAAGTGTAATTAAAGCTGATGCCCCCTAGGTTACAATGTAATTAAATCTGATGTCCCTATATTCTAGGTTACAAGTGTAATTAAATCTGATGTCCCTATATTCTAGGTTACAAGTGTAATTAAAGCTGATGTCCCTATATTCTAGGTTACAAGTGTCATTAAAGTAAAAACTAGTTCCGTCACATGATAATGTTCCGGTTCCTCGAAGTCGCCTATAAAAAGGTTGCCAGTCACTTCGAGGAGCATCAGTTCTTCACAGTCTTCAACAACATGAAGTTTGTAAGTAGTTGAGGTGATCTACATGGAATAAATCTTATCGTTTGATCTGTGAACGGCAGGGGCTAGAGAGGGGATGGTTTATGCCTGCTATATGCTTTGATTTAGTGAGTTCAAACAGTAATGGTCTTGGAGGAATATTTCGTGGCATGTGCTTGATGGGAAAATGGCGGAAGAGGGGTAGAGAAATTATTTTTATCTGTTGCAGGTAGTCCTCGCTCTCCTGGCCGCCGCTGCCACCGCCGTCCCAGTTTACGACGGGGCACAGGCACGCTTCGACTCCGGCGAGGTCGTGGCCATCCTGAGGGACGACCGCGTGATCGAGGACGACGGAAGGTACAACTTCGACATGGAGACTGCCAACGGAATCGTCATGTCCGAGTCTGGCTCTCACGGTCTGGAGGGTGCCATCGTCAGTGCCGGTTCCTACTCGTAAGTCATGGTGATGTAATTCTGAAAAAAAAAAAAAAAAACTCTATCTATCTACATGATGTTTAATCACAAAACTGAATGACATTGAACACATAATTACTGTTCATAGAGAGAGAGAAGAGAAACAAGGCAATGGATCGGCAAGTGACTTTTCTTTTCTTCGCAGATACACCGCTCCTGACGGCACTCCCGTTGTCGTCAAGTACGTGGCTGACGAGAACGGCTTCCAGCCCCAGTCCGACCTCCTGCCCGTGGCTCCCGAGTTCCCCCACCCGATCCCCGACTTCGTCCTCGAGCAGATCGCCTTCGCCGCCGAGGAGGACGCCCGCAGAGCCAGGGAACCCTCCAACAGATACGAACTCCTCATAATAGATTATTTTAGCGAAGGACTAGTTCATCTTATTGAAGATTGTGAAGACCATGTATTTATTTATTTAGTGTTCATTTCATACAAATAAAAGTAGAAATACGTCAAATCAGATATGTGGTACCCTAAGATAAAGATAATTTTAACTCAAAATTCATCGTTGCCGAATAGTGGCGGACACCTTTCTGGGATTTTAAAAGATCAAGGATTTGCCATGAGAGAAAAAGACGAAAATATACCTTTGCTGCTAATAATTTTCTTCGTGCTTTATTAAGAGAACATTCAAGGCCTTTAAATTACAATATCCTTTTTTTAACATTAATTCTGTTCCAAACATAGAGAGAGTGTATTGGTAACATTCGATCATACCAAATGTTCAAATATATTAACAATCCAACATTAAAACATAATATGGATGAAGAAAAATTATCAACAGAGATTTTCGAAGGCAAATGTTGGCCCGGCCGCTTCCAGCTATTTAAGAATGAGCTAATTATTAGTGAATGGTTATTTGGGAACAACTTGCCTCCATTTGCTCCGACTTCCATATAGTAAAGGACGTACTACCTTTTCACTATTCCAGAGAAAGTGATTGGTCTGAGGTAGTATTTTGAATACAACGAGGTGTCTGATGCAATGCTCATATTAGCAATTATAGCCAATACGATCTGTAATTTGCCATACACAGTGGTAGCCCATTCCTATTCTATTTAATTATGAGTAATGACCTTAAAATTTCAATACCAAATGGTACAGATTAAGCTTCTTCGCGGTGGAGCTCTCTGTTGGTATGACTTGATGACCTGCTCCAGTACATTCAAGAGTCTTCCCCTTTCAAGGCTTGCTAATCTGTCAGCAACCTCGATCCCATGAATACCAACGTAGCTTGAGACCCTGTTTAGAATGACGTGTCAACCCTGACCAAGTATACTTTGTGCTACGGTGAACATGGTGGTCAAGGAATATATCAATGGTCCACAAACTAGGCCTTTTGCTATATGTAGGGAAGTGTGTGCTGTGGCACTGTATTGTTAGATTTTAAATAACCAGATAGAATGTAAAATATGTGTAAATATTCAAGCCTTTTTTTCATATTTTCTACCCTTCGAAAGTGTAACATTTTTGCCCCATGATTATTGAGTCATTAAAAATAATAATAAAAAGCACGTTCTTGCTTTAATACTGCCTGGCGGCACCATGAAGGATGCTGTATAAAAAGAGGCAATGGCCTTTAAAAGGACTGGAAACCGCTGGAATATATATTGTCATTCGATACGCTATGACGCTGGCTACACATGATTGCCCTTGATTCACTACGCATGCTATTCAGACTTATTTGGGTCCTCGCGAAAAAAAATAATGGGAAAATACTCTCATGTAGTTCTTTGTATTTCAAGTGCAATTTACCATTACTGTACTTACTGCAAATTACGCATAAAATGTGTGAGCAATTATAGAAAAAAATTAAATAGGATATACAACAACACACATACACACACACACATACACCACACAATATCTATATCTATATAATATCTATCTATATCTATATATATATATACTGATAGTTACAGGTGTAAAAATATATGTGCGTGTACGTATTTACATATGCATATACATATGGATGGAAAAAATAGACTCATTGCCTTATAGCCAATTAATTAGAGTAGGGATTTCTTGCGATAAAGTCCTCAATAAAAGCAACGAAATCGGATTCACTTTTCACCTAGTTTTCGAAGCAAAACCGACGAGTCATCATGAAATCTGTTCGAACAGGTCTTACCGTCTGAAGCAAGCTGAAGTTCATCTCTTACGCACTATGTTGTAAAAAAATGCCACATTTAGGTCATGAAACTATTATTAATCATCTCTTTTAAAGAATATTCATAGAAACACGCAGTTATTCCGTGCCAAGGCGACCGTAGGTTTGATTCGAACCGTTCCGAATTTTTGTTTATCATGGAGTAGCGAGGTCGTGAGCTTGGCCTTCTCCGAATTAGTGCGTCTGACTTTGAAACTGAAACTGGAGTCATTGTGATATGTCCTCAACTGGAAGAGAAAATGAAAGTCTTTATGATGGAGAGAGAGAGGGAGAAAAAAAGTTGGTTACTTGCCAGAGTTAACATGATGGTGTATTTAATTTAATGGTGTCAGGTTCAGTGTGTTTGAAATGTTGAAGATGAACGTCTGAACAGATCTGTGACTTGAATATTCTTTTTAATTGTGGAAGATTATTTTTGCCACAACAGGAAAAAAATATTATGAACTTTTAATCTAATAAAAACACTCGAACGATAAACTATAGATATTAAAAAAACGTTGCATTATCAAAATACTTCCAACTATAACTAAACATTGCTATATATATCCAGTACTAACTAAATTCATTTATATTCGCCTCAAGTAAGTCTATAAATCTATTTTTGGAGGGAGAAAAAATAGATTTCTTGGTTGATTCATTTGGCTGAGACAAGTTTGCATTGCCTTTTTACATAGAAAGTGCAGGCGCCGCTGACTCACGAAGCCCAGTCCTTGTTCTGTGATTCCCACACAATGATGCGGCGAGATTTCACAAGATTTTTTTTTTTTTTCAATTGATGACTAATTACACACACACACACACACACACACACACACACACACACACACACACACACACATCACATATACCTAAAAGTCATAAAATAATATCAAAATGATATCAGCTGTAATGATAATCATATAAACATAGATAATTATAAGCATTGTAGTTATGAAAAGGGAAGGGATACTGTTTTATCAGAATGGTAATTATGATACCAATATCAGTGCTAAGAGATAATGAAAATAAGAAATATATCATAAACAAGAAAAAAAAATCAGTAATGATATTAGTAACGATAAAAAGGTGAATATGATAAGAATGATAATGACGATGATATTGAAGATGGTATCAATAGTAATGATATTTCAGATAATGAAAATAGTAATCAATGATGATAAATAAGTTCATGATATTAGTAATGACTAATGAATAATAATAATAGCAATGATGGTATCAAATATGATATGAGTAGCACTAATAATATTGATAATGATAATAATGATAATGATAATTGGAATGATATTGATAATAATAATTATTATATCAAATAAAATAATAATGATAACAATAATAATGATACTGATATTACTACTACTGATAATATTCATGAAAATGATAACGATTGTAAAAATAAAAATAATAATAACA